GATAAAAATCTTGCCAAGTTGTACTTCTTAGAGCGGAAAGAGACTTCTCAAAGCCCTGATCGCAAGATGGCACGAAGTTTGAAAGACGGGTCACCTGTCTCTGGGTAAATGTCAGCTGAATTTCGTGTAATGTTTATGTACAGGAGAGACGTCTTTGGCAATCCACAGTTGTTCTTTCAAGTCCTAAGCTGGGGCATCGCTAGAATGTTCATGTGAATGTTTACCTTAGAGCGTATTCTCCCCACATTGCGAACATTGCATCAATCCATTTGTAGTCTTTGATGTCGTTGTCTTTGAAGATTGATATGAAGCCATGTGACTCTTAAACTTTGTCTTGGACAGATTTGAGTTTGTATATCATGTACGACTTTTTCAGAGAATTGCCATAAGTTGACCATCGGTTTAAGTCTGATTTGTTAGATTATGTCCCCTTGCCATCTCCTTCGTTACGGATGTGAGTTGGTTCTGGCAAGTTTAAATGTTTCGTGTTACAATTCATTAACATTCTTTGACACCTGAGCAGGTTGTGCTTGTTGGAGTGTAACCTGCTGAACCATCATCAAACAGGATGGGGATTAAATGCTGAATAATATTCGATTTAAATTTATAAAAAACGGAAATATCTTTGATCATATCTTAACCAAGATTTTTTTTTAAATATATCATAAATCCCCCTTTGTTAAATAGAAAGTTGTTCACAAAATCAGATGTCACTAAAATGTTGACATTAATATAGGATCATTTTTTTATAATATTTTGTCCGCCATATTTTCCAACCTATCAAAAATGCCTGTTTTTTTGGATGAATATGTTCGTAAAATGCTTTATTGTTGCAAGTCAAACAAGCACTACAAGACGTGGGCTGTTTAGAATGCCTTCAGAGGACATGTCATCACCAAGAAATGATAGATTACTCTATTCCACAACTCATTGCTTTCCTGTGTACACAAATATCGATTTCCTAACTTTCATAATTCACGTACTTGCCAAAAGGGGGAAAAATGTTCTGTATGTCCTTTTCATGTGTTCATGTTTCTTGCCAAGCCTGGAAGATTATTTCATGTTACATGGTTAAAAGATCAAGTTTGTTGTGTGTGAAAATTGTTGTAAGATGGCTGTGTTGTTCGAACCACATGAAACTGATATCCTTAAGAGTGTTTGAACATGAGTTAAGATCTATATGAAGGGATGCTAGTTACTATATACAAGCAAACATTCATAGCAGATGCTTTTTAATCAGTGTAAGGAAATATTTGTAATTTGATAGTGTGGTTGTAATATCCCAACAACCTTACCTTTGTCATGATGAAAGTATGTTTTGTAATTAAATATCAAGCAGAAAATATCAGAGTGAATATGATCTATGTTGATTGGATCCTGCTAAGGATGAATTATAGATATGATAATCAGCATCGTGTACTGATCATTTTCTCAAAATGAAATGGTATAATTTATTTAGGCTTCAGTTCATCAAATGCAAGTATTTTTTGTATAGTTTTTAAAAGAGGAATTGGCGGCACGGAAGCTAGTCATATATAGAGGGCCTTGTATGAATGAGAAATGTGGATGCAAAGCGGCTGTGATCAACCAACTCTCAAATTGACTTGCTGAATCGACAGATATCCCTGACTTGGTCTCCACTGCACAGCTAGAAGTTGACGAAGTCATTGAGTGCAACACGCTAACAAACAGTAATATCTAACACATTTAGTCAAGGAGAAACGTCATTGGGCCTTAGTCATCACAGCCATTATTGGCAGCTTTTTTTCCCTTTTTTCGCCCACAGGGTTGGTGAATTTAGGTCAGGGGATGTCTGGGAAAATTTGTCATTTGTAAACATGATGTTGGTTCTATCGATTTTTGTGAGATTCGAGAAGACAGCTAACAACAATTGTTCATCTACAGTGACTGTTTTTTGTGATTTTGAATAAATATTATCTTATGAATTTGTGAAGGTTTCATATCAAATAAACATTCTGTTTTGTAAAATCATGAAATGGTAAAACATGTTGTATATTTTATTAATGGAGTTAAATTTGTAGATTGGGTGTTTGTAAATCAAAGCATTCTGGAATGGAGATTTATTTGCTTTTTATGAAATAATGCACTTTGATTGTTAAGAATTGATTATTTTTAGTTTATATGACCAAAACCTTTTTATAATTTATCTCCCATCAATAAAAATGAAGTGGAATGTTCATGTTTTGTTGGCGACAAGGGCATGTAAATAAATGAAAGACGGTGGTTATATGGGAAGGAGGCCTGTGCCACTATTTGGGAGTAATGTTCCACGCTGTGGTATGTGAGTTGGGTGCTCTAATAGAAACACAAAAACACAGACATATGAGTCATCCAGAGTTTGTTGTGACATTCTGATGGCTATCAACATCATTTAATGTCTCTGTTGTCAAAGTATGTCAGCTCTAGGTCTATTGTTTTGATATGTATGTAATGTGTGGCTAATCAACACACACTCCTAAAAGCAGTCTCGTTTGAAAAACAGTGCTAAATCAACAATTTCAGCCATATTGAAATATATCCTATACGTTCATTTACAATCTTAACTTTAATATTTATTCAATTTAAATGAAGATTGGTTCCAATGCCAAGACTTAATGGGAATATGTTATTAGGAAAACTCACATGTACTTACGTAAGGGGTGATTGGGGACATTTGGGGACAATTCATTTTGCTGTTAAATCGGGACATTATATTATTTCACCCTGTAGAAAATTGGCGCCTTGAATAAACTCAAGCTGCTATCAATGACAAGTACAATAAATCAGCCTAAAATGGAACACACATCCATCCATACATCACTTGGCTCAACAACAGCTATACCCGTGGTTAGGAGATATTCACATCCATCTCCCTTTGTCACATATTTTTGCATATTTTTGTCAGCTTGAAATCTTATGAAAATACATGGCAGCATGTTCCGATGTTTTAGACAAACTTGTAATAATTCTCATGGTTAACATGATATACAACAATTGAGTAATTTCATTTTTGATAGAGCTTTCAGGGAGCGAATTAATCCTGTTAGTGGAAGATTAAAGTCATTTCAAAATTTCTCTCGCTTATTTAATCCTTTCATTATTGACAGTATTGTCATTTTGGATCTATTTATACACAAACCCTTTTCCTTTTCTCGTATTGTCGTGTGAACAATAAAAAATACAATGGAATAAGAAAAATGTGTTGAGAACATCACGTCCCTTTGTAGAAATATTACTGTAGCTCATCAAGTCAAGCTAGAAATTCCTCAAGCTGGACACCATTGTTGTGGGCCTTAGCTGCACTGACTGACCCCACATAACTTTCCCATTATGGCCGCTACTAAGTAGCTGCTTTATGGTACTCTCATGTAAACAGATATCCCTATCGCCCTGTTCATTTTGTGCTGAGGGATTTTGTGGTCTGAATAATACTTATTACAGCATGATTTATTCAGCTTGGGAAGCTGTCCAAGAATAGAAGCAGGGAGAGCGTTGCCTGAGCTGCTGATATATCCAAAGATTTTGTGACCAACCCACAGAAAACCCCTTTAAGGGATTCCAGCCCCATTTCAATCTTTAACATGCCAGGTTTAAGTCGTTAATTACTTTCCATGCCGGTCATGGCTTGAATAGGCCATGACACATGGTGAATTGGGTCGCGGGGTGATTCGGTACAAATAGTTGTGGCTTTGTCCCCGGTATATGCAGAGAGAGGTAGAGGTGTTGAATTAAGATTGGGAGAGGTCTTTCCCTTCTTGATAGCTTGTCACATGACTGGGATATACAATATTGCAAACTATTTCATTTCATTCAGCTCCAGGGAACACGTTCAACACAGCTCCAAGCACTCTTAGTTTCTGTTCAGCCCTTAACTGGAAATTTCTCACTTGGTTAAGTCTCCACTTTGGAGTCATTATAGAGTAAAGTATGTTTATGTCAGAAAATTGAAAACACGCAAACAAGCTGATATGTACTTTGATGAACTTGCAAAGCTGTGATATGAACGCACTGGGGATCTACAAATAGATCGACATTATAAACTGAATTTATGTTATGAACTGATTTTGTATTCAGCGTGTTTGTTTCATTGTAGATAAACGTAATACTTTGAGTATCAGAATATAACACATGACCAGTTTGTAATATGGATATGTTTTGATAATTAGTGATGTCATCACTTATTTTAAGGTCTTTGATGATTTAAAAAACACTTTTTGAAAGTTGTTAAAATGTATAAATATAGAATGTCTCCTACAAACCACAAGGTCCTGGCTGCTGTTTTGTTTTGATGATGTACAGGGAAGTGTTAGGCACAAAGGTTTTGGGATGGACATTTTGTGACCTTCAACCATACCAAGGTCACCGTGTTAATTGAGGAAATCCAACAAGGATGTTATGACAATGGACGCGTTCTTTGAAATAACTGCTTCTGAAAGATGATAAACTCCATTTAATTGGGGCAAAAAGATTTGCTTGTTTCCTGATTTGATGAATTTTCAATACTGTTTTCAGTCAGTGTTTTCAGTCAGTGTTGAAAAGGCAATCATGTTCACAACTATTGATAATTCGTTTTGGACTTTTCCCTATTACTGGTGAGAGTCCTTTACATATTTGTATATGGTGGCTTATGGTTATTGCGTGTTGGTTTTTTTATGATATCATTCAATCAATGTCAGTATGAAATTCACATTCCATAACATATTGGTCAAAATATTAACAGGTCTGTGTTTTCTGTATTTAATAGGACTTCAACTGACAGTGTCTTTTAATTGCTTCATGGATTAGTCACATTTTTGGCAGTATAATAAAAGGCATGTTTTGGGTTCTGTGAGAAAGGACATGATCGTTTATGATAAATGATGAAGCTTCTGTCTACAGGTCCGTTATGTATTTCCAGGATGATTTCCTTTCCTCGTCTGAAGATGAAAATTTTGATTTTGGTGATTTGTTCAATAATTCATAGTGTAATACCATATTCAAATGAACTTTTTGTTTTTCAGCTTCGAAGATTCCAACAGTATGGAATCTGTCTCCCATCCGTTCCGGTCCATGGATGCAGTATCCCCGGACGGAATGGGAGGCAACAAAAGCCGGAAAAATAAAGAAGATAAATACTGCGGCGTGTGCGGCGACAGGGCCCTCGGCTACAACTTTGATGCCATCTCCTGCGAGTCTTGTAAGGCTTTCTTCAGGAGAAATGCACCCAAAGGACTTGTAAGTAGCTTTGATGTTTGGACAATTAGGGACATAAGCCGATGCAAGAGCATTCAAAATTTGTATGTATAATACAGGTAGTTTCGTGGCCACCTTGTTCACATTGCCTACAGATAAAGGTACTTTTCTGGAAGGTTACAGCACAGTTGTACATGTGTCTAACTGTTGGCTTGCTGTGATTGCCAAGTATGGTTTATACATACTTTTATGTTTTCATGATCCACCACAGGGAACAGTGACTTGTATCTGTGACCTGGCCGTCTCACTGGACCCACTGCAGACAGCTGCTTGTGTGTTTTGACACAGGCACCGCTCAGCTATGGCTGTAATACTGTACAAAACCATCACTCCCTATTCTTGGACGAAGCTTGTAAATATCCTGTGGGGATCCTGTGACAACAGGTGTCCAGTGCTTGGTGTAAGAGCTGACCAATGGGTACCAAGTGATCAGTCTCTGGGATGTGTCTCATTTGTTTTGTCATGCCCTGATGGTGGATCGTTGCTCATGCTGTCAGTCACTGGTTTGTCTGATCCAGACATGATTACTTACAGGCCGCTGTGGTGTAGCGGGACTATTGAAGACTGCAGTATAAACAAACTTCACAATTTCACTTAATGAAAATGTTTTGTTATTGCTGTGCAGTGTCAGGCAACAGATACTTAATGTTTTATGCAAGTTTTGTGAGTGGGAAGTGCTACCTGTAGGGCAGAACATACTGGTACTTACCCTTTTTGTAAACACTGATGTCATCACTGATTTTCAGTGGTTCATTCATATAGTTTTCACCACTATTTTGCCATTTACGTCCATTGGGAATCTGTTTCGGCAGACAATAAAGACTGGTTATTCTCTGGAGCTGGCGTTTTATATTTACTAAACAGTTGGATGGACAGATTTGTTGGAATGGTTGGGTATGTTGGAGAAAAGTGAGACATTTTTATCAAAATTTAAAAATCTCCAAGCTTCGTAAAAACACTACTTCACACTGCCAATTTCATTGAGATAATAGTTGGACATTATCGTAAACCTTTCATGCAGCACTTTGGTTTCATCAAATCATAGCTCGTTCCAAACCTTGCTGAGAAACAGCTGGGAAGCACGACTCACAACCCCTGCATTATCATGGCCGCATGTTGTGGAAGAATTGAGGCATCAGTGCATCAACCAAACTGCAATATTAAGCATTCGCCCATCGAGTCAGATAAAAGTGTTTACCGTATTTGACATAATTGGTGCTGGAGATAGGTAAGTAGCTGCAACAAGCAATAGGGAGTGCTCTGTTATATAGGAACCCACAGGCCTACTGGTCAGACACTAATGTACATTAACAACAGCCATTACATCTTCCACCACCTATTTGGGGTCCACACTTTCAACAGGTGCAAGGTTTCTCTACGATATTAGTTCACAACAAAAACCTAACTTTATTTTCATCTGGAATTTGTGTTCTGACCTGACTGGACCCTGGACATCATCATGTAACATTCAAACTTAGATGAAAATATGGCATGTGTGTTTCCTTTATCATAAAGAAATGGTATACAATTTACAAATTTTGTGTAAATATTTTAGTGGTTTGATACATATATTTATATTTCAAGTGTTACATTGTAAAACCGTACATCGATAAGATCTACACAGGATTGGGTACCCTATTGTTCCACTGGATAAAGATCACGTAAGATTCATCTATGGCAGCAGTATTTTTTACACATAATCGCTAACACTTTTGTGGGCACTCAGACGAGCCTATGGCAAATTTGACACTCAAGCTTTGATAAGAGACTGGATATTGATTATTACTGAACAGATTTCCTGATGGTTTGGTGTGGACTTGACTTACTCAGTGTATTCAATTCGAGGTCTGACGGGGCAAGATTTAGCTTGACGACATTATGCCTGATTTAATCGACAAATCCTTCATTACTACTTACTCCCTGGGTTGTAATTGGCAATTCTCCGTGTTGATCTGCATGGGACAGCAATCAGCAACAATCAGTTTATAGCCAATGTTTCACGTTGGAGTTTTTTTTGCTTTCAATCTTTATAACCCCTAACTGATAAAACGTTGGTAAATTTCATGGGGATTGGGCCGAGTTAGGGTGTTAGCGAAGAGGTTGACAAAACATTTCATTAAGCTGGGCTAAACGAACAATCCTACAGATCTGCGTGACAGCTTCAACTTCAGATTTCAACGTAACTTTACAGAAATCTTCTTTTCGCTGTAATTGGCTGTCAAATAATCGGATATGCTACAGTATTGAGTAATGCCTGGATAGGATTATGCTTTGTGTGCTGTGTGTTCGAGTTGGCAGGAACACGCATAACAAGCATAAATTCTCACATCTATGTGTTAAGTCATGCTGAAAGTCCAGGATTTAATCAAGTGATTGAGATAAATCAGACTTCGCAGAAAGAGATGATTAATTTGGGAAGCTTCACAGGATGCTAAGTGCTACCTTCCAACAGCTTATTTACATTCTCTAATATTTTCCAGACCTTCAAACGACTCACAATTGAGTGTTGTGATTCAGAATGTTTGCATGTGTTTGAAAATCAGTTAATTCTCTGAAAAAAACTCTAATGAACAGACAGACCTACTTTACAAATCATCTCAAAAGAAACTTTCATAATGATTATCTGAGAAATGTTTTGTAAGTTGTGTGTTTTTTAGGTCCAAGCCCATTCACTTAATTGTTTTTTATATGCTATTTCAACGGGCGGTGGGTAGCCTAGTGGTTGAAGCATTCGCTTGTCACACCGAAGACCTGGGTTCGATTTTCCATTGAACGTAATGTGTGGCCCCACTTTTATGTTGCTGGAATATTGCTTAAAGCAACTCACATACTCACATGTACTAAAACTTTCAATACACGATGACAGATACAATTATTAAGTTTGGCAAGTTGAGCTTCATATATAGAAATAGTATGACCTACATTCCTTTCTGATATCAATATTGGATATATACTATGTAGATGCTTAGAAACAGTGATAAGTGGAGTCAGGTCATTGATCATGCCCTTCAAGAATATGTCCTTGACCTTTCCATAAAAAATATGTAATCACATGAACAAGGAAAATAGCCGCTGGCAAGATCGTTACATCGTCATGGACAGCGGTTCAATACCTGTACATCTCTGTTATTAGGTTCCGTTGCTGCTTGGGTATTTGATGGCGTTGCCTCCGTCATATCAATGTGCAAAATATAGTTCCAAAGTAATGATACAACAAAATAGTAAGACAGGTATACCTGAATAATGATAGTCCCTACTGAGATATACCAGCTGTACCAGAAAACATCGTCCCAACTGAGACATAACAGAAACATTATCGTCCCAACTGAGACATAACAGAAACAATATTGTCCCAACTGAGATATCCTATCCCAAAATAGACCCAACTCAGATATGCCAGAAAATATTAGTCCCAACTTAAATATATCTGTAAAAATTAGTCCCAACTCAGATATTCTTGTAAACAGTCCATCTGACGTATGCTGAAAAAAATAGTTCCATTTGAGATTTCATCCATATACATGTGAAACATAGTTCCAACTGACGTAACTACATGGAAGAATTTTTAAAAAGTAATAAGTCTGCCTATGTATGTGGATTTCTTTAATTCTTCAAGTTCAATCTAACTAGATTACTCTGACACATTGTAAATGATTGCTCAGAGTGACAAATGTAAATGTCACGTGATTGACAGAGCAAGTATTGATGATGGTCCAGGTAGATTCTCGCCAGGCTCAAGGATAGGCTTCTGGCGCTATTATCTTTATTGTGTCTCTAGGAGTTCAAATTGACGTGCCAACAATGCACATGAAACATCGATATGTTCTGCTTTTACATGTCATTGATTGTCTCAAAGAAAACTTGCTATTGAGTTTTCACAACCTCATACAACCACTGGGATAGTTTCTATTCTCAGATGTCTTTTTTACCTTCTGCATTGTTATGCTTTCTGGTCAATGATATTGATGGTATTAAGATACTATCGGCCTTTATTTGCCTTTTTCATTGATATAAAAGAAGGAACTATACAGGGAAAATAAAGGAGGATGACCTAATTTATGCAAGAATCTGACATGTACTGCACATTTAGAAAATCATTATACAGTTAGCCTATATTTTATTTTGATTGGGGGACACTGTTTTACAATTAGGTGAAATGGAAAAAAACAAACACGTGAGATTATATCACAGCTGTTCATTAAACATAGTGAATTATATGTATAAAAATCATTATTCTCACAAAGAAAATCAGTCAGTTGTATTATTGGGTATTTTCAACTGAATTACCAGTAGTGCTGGATGAAAACGTGTGTACAGCTGATTGCTATTTCTGGCTTAGTTTACAGAACAAAATACGCGCAGTAATCTTAATCTCTGCATATTAAACAATGCCTAGCAGAAAGGAAATACAACTGACATGGTAAATCCTCATGTCTACTGATGTTCTATTTCAAATTTCACGTTTTGATTGGCCAAGTTTGTTATCATTGAATTTTAACCCAATCATTTTGTAAGCTGAAACACAGCCCATAACGGCGCACCAGGACATGAGCAACTGTATATCAGATATTTGATTTACTTTTTGTGATTATGTTGGAATTGGCTAAAGCGCACTATGTGCTTTTTTTGCTTGAACTTACAGAAAATTATTCAGTTTTCATTTGAATCATTAATTCACAAACATTGTTAACAAACTTTGTCACTTGACAAAGAAGGTTGAACAAACTGTTGTTTTTCCTTCTTGAATCCAATGGAGTTAAGTCATACACACAAACAAATTGCTAAGCCTTTTCATGTTTTTTCATGCTTTTACACAGATTCATAGAGTTGTTCAGTTTCTTTATTTGTTATGTGATGGACTAGAACAGAAAGAGACTTTGTTATGTGATGGACTAGGACAGAAAGAGACTTCGTTATGTGATGGACTAGAACAGAAAGAGACTTCGTTATGTGATGGACTAGGACAGAAAGAGACTTCATTA